TAATTTTTCTTATATTTAAGATTGAGAATCATGAACAGCACAAAATTCAGTCATTCCAGATTGAAAATACTACAGTAAACTGAAATCTTCTGAGGTTGCTTGTGGGGAGATGGGAGTAGTGGTAGGAACAAAACTCACAGAACCGAGCGATTGACAATATGCCCCTTAGCTAGTGACACAACTGTTATTTAAAACAATTGATTTTTACATTAAAAGTCAATTGTTTACTTTTAAAGGGAACAAATGCACTAAACCAGAAAACAGAAATACGTGCGCATTTCCGTGAAGAACAGAACTATCGCCACAAGAGTTGCACAATACAAATACCTCCAGTTTTCCTGTCTTAGAAGTTTCCTCTGACTGACCTCCACACATATCTTCCAACAGAGTGTTACAGGGCTACCACAATGGTCCTATTTCCATACTCAGGTCACATTTACTTAGCACTGAGTGAAAATACGATGTTCAGAGGAGCAGTATACACATCAAACAATACATTGGTAAGTAGAATTCTTAACCTACAGTTTCAGCTGACATAATTGGTTGCTAAGGGCTTTGGGAAGAATTAAAAATCTAAAAATTGTTCCTAGAATATCTCTCCCTGAAAGGTCTTGATAACAAAGCACCATTCTGCTGCAGCTTTAAAAACACAGGGGGTGAAAAAATACACTTCAACAGTCTTAACTAGGAACTAGACCTGGATGATCTTTGTTCTCCCATCAACTGTTCAATTCTTAATCTCCAGAAAGATTCTCTGAACTTCAGATTTCAGATTAAATGCTGATACAGGTGGTACCATTAAGAGACAAATCAATATGTAAACTCTAGATGGAGAGGTTAAAATCCCCTGGATTCCCCTTCAGTCTGACCCTATAAAATCTACAGTTTTAAAATCTATTTTAATAGTTGATTTTCCAGAGACCACAAGATTTATTTTTGCATATGCCCTTGATGGAATTAATGAGAGAAAGAGAGAAAAGCATATGCTTAAATGCCTGGGGGCAACTAGATAGAACAAAGGAAGATATTACAGTTTATTAACACAATTCCAATACTCACAGCATATTGCTTGCTCTCAATATTCCAGAAAGAATATGCATTATACAATCCAATCTCTGTAACTAATGTGCTTATAGCCTTTAAGAGGGTGATATTTACCAGCTAAATATTGGTCAAAATAGTAGCTAACATTTAGACATCTGCTTTAAAGAGAAGTATTTCTTCCACCTGCTTCTACAGGCCACAAAGATACACTCTAGTTAACATATTACTGACAGGATGATGAGAAAGCTCCTGTCAGACGCCGGCCAGCCGGGTGTTTGAGACAAAATACACAGCCCCAGCTGACTAGTTAAAGAAAGTCTGGTGAGGTACAATTATAGAGGCATATGACAAGACTTCATGCCTGACTGATTTGAGAACCAATGACATGACTTTAAACAGCAATATTCTCTACCTCTGGTCACAAAACAGCAATAAGTCAACTGATATACTCTTGTAATATCATGATTTATTCCTTTGCTTTGAATACATGAGACTTTGGTATGATGTTCTGCTAGTCTACTCGAGATTCTCTTGGGGCTTAAACATCTAGGGCCTGCCTACAGCATGTATAAAATCAATGTTCTTGTTCAGGATTACCAGGAACACTTCTGTGTATAGTTGATAATGTATATACCAATAGAATAAAGACCAAATTGTTTATGTCCCAATTCATAAAACTTAAACACAGAAAAATGTAATAATGGGTCCTGACAAAGTACCACACTTTAGTGGGCAGGGAGATGGGATCCATGGATGATGGGGATTAAGGAGGGCACTTGTGATGAGCACTGGGCGTTGTATTTCAGTGGTGAATCCTTAAAGTCTACACCTGAAGTTAATATTACACAGTATGTTAACTAAGTGGAATTTAAATAAAAACTTGAAAAAACAAAACAAAAAATACAACACTTTAATGGGGGAGGGGGGCTCATTAAAAGTGTGAAAACACACGACTCTTGATACTTTTGCTAACATATTTCAAAATTAACTTTTTTTATTTTAAAGTTAATGTCTATAACTTACAAATTATAATTTTAACTACAAACAGCACCTAAGAAAAGACCTTTAAGTAAGCTGATTGATTCTCTCCCAGTGTATCTTCACTAAAACACCCAGCAACTATAAGGTTGACAAATATGGTTCTAATAAAAGAAGTTTTATTAAAGAGTAAACCCAAACAAACAAAATTCCTAAAACTATACATAAAATTATAGATCCAAAGACACCTTAAGTTACGTGTGCTCTTCCAATAGTTAAAATTTTGGCTGTAGACTTAAAAAATGAAAAATGAGTAAAACACAATTTGTTGCATTAATACTAAATACAGTGTAGTCTTCAAGGCATATAGAATGAGAATGTAAAAAGCTTAAAAGTCAGTCAATTCATTGATACTTAACTATTCCTTCCTTGGGTGTTTCAGAGATTTCACTAAATTCTTCCTAAAATATAGTTTATTTCTAATTTATGTTATAGTACCAGTCTTTGACCTTAAATGTTACTATGCATGGAATTTACAGAAGATATAGAAATAGATATATGAATTTTTCCAGATAGATATAAGTAAAACAGCTTCCCCCACATAAGAAGGGTAAGGGGGTCATGAAAGCAAGCGTGAATTATGTTTCTTTTATCAGTACTACTGCCCCAGAGAATGAATTAAAATGAAGCTGGTAACTTAGAAGTGACATCACCATCGAGTTTTCATGAATTGTCATAAACAATTGGTAAAAGTTTACCTCAGACATAAGAAACAACTCCCTGAATAATACCAAGTCTTTATTAAAATAATTTTATTATTTAATTCAAATAAAGTGAAAGGGTAAGCATGTTAATTTTTACTCTAAACTGCAGAACTAGTCCGTTATAAAATCATAGCTAATAATCATTGAATCAACATTGAATGTTATGCAAATACAATTCTCAGCATTACACATATGTGTATATATACACATGTGTGTATATATACACATGTGTTTATATAGCTATACAGATATAGAGATATCTCAATCTTTACAACAACCTATGAGATTATAACTATTACTACCATTCTCCCAGTTTACATGTGAAGAAATAGTCACAGAGAAGTTATCCAGTTATTAAGATGTGTTTATAAATTGCAATAAAGAGTAACACCACTATTGTATAGTAATCATATACTCAGATTTATTTCAAATGTTTTTGTAAATAGGGAAGCGTATATGTTCATTCGCATAGCTCACTCCTGCACTTCATTTAGATCTCTGCTCAATATTACCTCATTAAGAAGCTTTCCATGACCACCCTATATAAAACTGAGGCCTGCCCCTCACCTTTCAACCTGTACACACACTCTCCTTATCATTTATCCCTTGGTATTCATCATAATAAGACACAACAGCTATTTTCATTCAATTCTGTTTCATCTGTTCAATATACGTTCCAAGAGTGTTTGGACTTTGCTTACTACTGAATCCTTAGTGCCTACAAAGTGCCTACCATATAGCAGGTTTCATGACAAGAATTAGTTCCTAGGCCTCGGAGACAGTTTGCACAATCTTTGTAATCTTCAGGACAATATCCATATAGAAATATTATTTATAACCTTGAAAAAATCATGTTTAAAAAATAAGGAGGAAGAGAACAGGGAGAAGGAAAAATGGTTTTACCTTAACGGTAAATTAAAAATAGAAAAGCAAATATATAAAAAGTCCCAAATGATTCAGATTACATTTCTCAATATCATTTTAAGAAAATGCAAATGACCTGTCAGGACTTGTGCTTGTTCTCTGACTGTACTACATCATGTCTCCATACTTACGCCTTTAAATGTACACAATGTGTTTTTCAATATGTAAAACAATGTATTTTCAATTTTTTTGGAAAAGTGGGTATATCAACATTGTAATTCAAAATCTCAAAACTGTATTTTTTCAAATAACGAGTAATGGAAATAAACCAGACCAGGACACTCAGCTTCACTCTACGTGTCTCTAATGAGCTATTTGGCCTTCACATGACCATTTAGTCTCTCTAAACATACATCTTTTCATTGTTGAATACTACATAGATATCTTAGAGAACTCCTAAAACTGCTTCGAATGTACTAAAACTTTACAGAATGAAGTTTTTTATTTTTACTATGGGAGAGCAAAACATAAAAACATTATCTTATTCTTATCAATTAACCAAATTTGTAAGGAAGCAAAGTCATGCAACACTAAATGTTTTTAATAAATATCTTGTTCATTACTCAAAATTATATTTACATTAAAAATTTTTAGTAAAAATATTACAATTTTAATACTTTGTAGAAAAAAGTTAGGACACCTAGCAAGATACTTTTGAATATTCTTCTCTGACCCAAGAAAACTCTTATTCTCACTGCCTTTACCACAATAGTGAAGACCTTCCAAAAGAACATTTCAGTGAGTAGCATAAAACCTGTGATTAAAAAAAAACAGAATGGTACTCTGACTTTTAAGTTATTATCAGCCTGAAGAGCTCCTCCAAATGAGAACTATTATAGAATCTACTCCCAAACCACTACTTGGCAACAAAGATGAATCTACCTATTACCAGGTTAGGATAGCAGCTATTATCATGGCCCCTTGATTTCTTTCAAGTAGTTCCAATGGAAAAAGCCACAAGTGAATAATAAAGATCTCATAATAGCTCTTAAGAATTCTTTATATGGTAGAAGGCACTAAAATGAACTCTGGAGAGTTAAAAAGAAAAAAAAAACAACTCTCATCTCCTGATAAGAAAAAATAATTAACCTGACTTAATGCATCTGAGAAGGCCTTCTATAAATCAGACTTTTGTACTTCAAGAGCCAGATTAAAACCATATATCAAAAAAGTATGTAGATATTGTCTTGTTAATACACATAGGACATTTCTAAGTCTGCAGAGGTTCGTAGGTCTTTTTGTGAAATGCTCAACACGTTCCACTTAAAAGGAGAAGTGTGAAGTACTTACAGTGCTTAATTTGCTAGAGGTAATAATGACGCGCCTCTCATGCAACATGCTGGCGTATAGTTGCAGCATATTATTCACATCCACGGCAACAAAATATTCTGTAAGATTTCTCTGTACAAGTGAAGAGTGATTGTGTAAGTTATAGCTCATGGTGATTATGAAGGAAAATATTTTATACATTTACCAACAAGTCTTAAGGTTCAAAGAACGTTGTTATTAAAAATGGTATTCATTAAAATAATTAAATGTGATACTATCCTGCTGCCACACGAAGCACGTAACATTCTATTATTATTTGAAACATAATCCTACCCCAGGGAAATGCTTCTCAGAGGGCAGTCAGAGGATCACACATTTTCCACTCTCTCTCCCCAAGTACTTATAAAAGAAGCCCATTTCCTGGGCTCCAATTGTAAACCTGCTGAATTTTAATCTTCAGAGTATGGCTCCAAGAATCTGTTTTTTAAAAAGGTATTCCTGATAATTCTTATATACACTGAACTTTGAGAACTGCTGTTCCAGAAAATACATTTGAGTCTTTTTATGTTTGCCAATCACTCAGCAGACGGCATCATTGCGTGATACTATGTACTACGTACAAGGAACCCAGAGGATGAGATGGACTCATAAAGCAGATCTTTGGTCCTTTATTAAGGAAAATTCCTTTATATTCCATGTCAGACCTGCTCTATTCCACCATAACCAAATTAATTTGGGGGTTAGCCTAATTTGATTCCTTGATATAACACTTCATATTATTTCCCCCACATACAAACAAAATTGGGCTAATCTACATTAACTTTGACATCCAGATCCACTCTTTCTTATTTTTAACTTTCTGTACTCAAACTTAAGCATATCAGAAAGTTATAAAGTAATGAAGAGACTGAATAAGATATGATAATCAACTGAAACCATAGTACCAGGTAGACTATGACTTAGAAGGCCTAAAATTTTTTAGTTGGGCAAGGAAACAAGAAATCTAATTTTCTTCAATTTCCAAAAGGCAGAAATTCTACCAGGACCAACTAGTAATGGCAGGGTACCTAACAAAAACTATAATATCAGTGAGTGATGCTGAATTTAGTGGGGAGAAATTCATTTCTTGTGTTGTGTATTTGAAGACTACCTTACCTTCCAATTCAACTCTTCATATACAAAATTACTTTTATGGCATTTAACATTAGTATTTTTCCTATAATATCAAAGAATGTAATTTCTAGATTGAAAAATATTTCTCAACACAGAATACTGTGTTGATAATCTATTTCAGGCCCACATTCCAAACAGCTTCATCTAATCTTTTCACAGGACTTATCTGGACGCATCTGTACTAAAAATACCACTGACAGTCTTGGTTTGATATTGGAAAATTCACAACTGTCTTCCTAGATTCCACTCACTCATAACCCATGTACTTTTGGAAACCAAACACTTAGTAGGTCTGAAAACATTTTGGGAAGAACAATAGAGTTCTAAAAAAAATAATAAATATTTCTGGAATGTTTTTTCCTGTTTTTGATGTATCTTTTACTGTTCATAGAATTATTTCCACTGATTCACTGTATCTTTCCAAGGGAAGTTGAAAAAAATTACATAAGAGAAAATTTCCTTTTCACACAGCAACCAAAAGCGTCTTTATCACTTCTACCTGCCATGTAAATCTTTCTACAGAAGATTAATTTGTAATAACTACTAAAACACTGGAAGTATTTCTAACATGGCTACAATTAGGACTCTAATTAAAATGTAAAATTTAGCAATAATTTCTTATAGTACTCCTCAAGACCTACAAAATATGTATCACTTAAATTAAAATCAAGAAACCAAGCCCAGGACAGTAAGATTTTCATAGAATCATACAAGTAATCTAAACTGCTACAGTCAGGTCACTAAAGAAACCATGTGTGTGAAAATATTTCCCATTGCCAGTATTCATCCCCCTCCACCCAAGTAAGATCATCTGAGATATTTCTTCTACATGATCCAGGGGGGGCGCAGTCTCAGGACCTCACTGATTACATATGATCCTACCAAACTATCTCAATGGTAGAAACAGTTTTTCTGATAAAAATTTCCTTACCTACAACCAAATATTTAGGAAGTAAAGTAGCAGACACAATAAAGATAAAACAGAGATAACACCATTATTCCTTATTCCTTCATTATTTCTAATAAAAAATGGAGGGTTACAACATATTATTTTCTCTATATAGAAATTCTTAAACGGCGAGGCCAAAATAAAATTCATAATATGAGTAGCAAAAAAAACATAGAAAACAGAAAACTTACACTCTCAGGAATTGTTGGGAGTCCAGTTACATCTGGGGCAATGAAGTAGGAATGCTAATAAACAGAAATAAATCACATAAGAAAAGCAGAATTAAAATTCGGTAGCATTACATATAAGAAAAAATAACAAAAAATATCAACTAAATTAATAAACATCGAGGATTAACATTCAGGATTTACTGAATTTGAGAGATTCTTAAATAAGACAGCAGGTCTATGAGACTGAGCAGTAACTTTCTCATACAAAGAATTAAGTGTTCATTAAAATTATTTAATTTCAAAATTGAAATAATCCTGGAAAAAATTTACCAAGACAAAAATGTATACACACACACACACACACACACACACACACACACACACACATTTAGAGACAGTGGAAAATAATGAGGTTTGCTTACACAAGAATAAATCAAAATCTATTAAGATTGCTGAGTTTCTATGATAAATCACAACAAATTTCTCTCGTACATATCAGCTACTATATTACAGCTACTATATTATTTAGAAATACTATCTTATTTAGAAAGCAGTAATAGAATATAATTTTTAAACATTAAAAAAATTTTAATGTGATTATCTCAAAATATGAGCCTCATACACCTACTAAACAAACAGTAATTAGCTTCTGTATTAAAGCAATACAACAGTTCATAGATCGACTTATATGAAAAGCATATTGTATATTTCTTCATGTTCCCCAGAATGTTCCCAAATTTTACCACCCAAAATCAGCACAACTGAATCACCAAAGTTGTTTTATTTTCTGTTCATATTAATCTCCAAAACTGTTTTACTACCTTAATCATATAAGGACATATTTAATGCCATTTTATAGTTAAAGATTGGAAAAGAAACATTCTGGCCAATATTGGGCACAGTTGAACTAGTCAGAACAGGCTAGTTAGCATAGTCATAATGTATAATTTTCCAGGGTAGAAGAGCAATATGAGATAAATCACAAGGTCTCCTGAGACCCTGTGACAAAAATGTGACAGAAATCTCATGCTGTGAATGCACTGTAACATTACTACTACTGACAATGGAGAATATGCATACATTTGGTCTTTATTATAAACTACTTTTATTTAGAGGGCTTTTTAATAGTTCTGCATTTCATAAAACTATGCTTTAAAAGATAGTATAAACAGAAAATATGCTCCAAATGATTAATTTTCTTAAATGAGTCAAATTAACCATTTTTCAAAGGACTGGAGTGCATCTTAAAAACACAGTGAAAGAAGTCATTATTGTCTCAATTTAATAGTGATTTTTAGAACCCATTGTCCTTTTAACTCACCGGTACTAGGAAGGGCTGATCTTTCAGAACTTGCTCACTGGCAATAAATATCTCTTGGTTCTTATAATATATGAGAGAAAAAATGAATATTTTACTTTCATGGGGGGAAGTTTACACAATTTGCTGTGTATTTGAGACAAACCCATGTAGCCACACTATCCACTGAAAGTAACACTAATTATAAATGTTATTTTAAATGCTGCTTTGCTCATTTTATGCTAGAAAAATCTTAAAGAAGTATTTTCATTCTCAACTGAGAGTAGAAAATCCTGTAGATATTTAGTTATTTTGAAACATAAAAATAAAAATTTACATGAAGTATTAACTTTTCCTTCAATCTCAGTGATTTTCTAGGGGTTACAGTGTCAAGTCTTGAAAAATTCATGTGCTGGAGCATTCACGAAACATGAAATTGTAAGAAAGTATAGCAGTTTCCCAAGACTTTTCACATTTTTCTATCAGAAATTGTACAAACAAACAAAATTTTCTTTCTACTTTGTGAAGGAACAAAAATTCTCAGGATGATCAATTTTAATCGGGCATCATAAAACAAAAACCGCTACTAGTAGCTGAAGACCAGTGTTTTTAACCCCAATTTTGCCACTGATGAAGAGCATAGCACTCACTGGACCTGGTACGTCAGTAATCTGTTGTTGAAATCAAATGAAATTACTAAATGGACTTTACCTGAATTTGAGGCAATATTCTATCAACCAGCTGATTTTGCAGTTCTTTAGATATTGTATTGAGAAAAGGTATACAAGATTTTAAAGCTACCCTAGACTACCGATTCAAAAGCTTACAAGAAGGCTTAAATTACAGAAATAACTGTCATGCATAGAATAGGACACACTCAAGTTCCCTAAAAAGATTATTTCAGCCACAATATAAAATATCTTCTCCATATGAAATAAAACTTCAATTCACTAATAAGTAATATTTGTATAGCTTTTCATGGTATCTAGATATGTCATTTCATGTAAATCCCCAAACAACTTTCTCAAAAATGGACTCATTTGATTTCTCAAATGAAGAAAAAGAATCCTCAAAAAGTTTCAACTTTTTTGCTTAACATCATACATTTAGTAACCAGGACTTAAACCAGTATCTTCTATTCTTAGGTTTCAGAGGCCTAGTAGTTTTTGGATTTACGATTCTTACCAAAAAAGGTGAAGTGTTTCGATATCCAGTATTTTTGAAATGTATTTTCATAAGATATTTACTCCTAAACAAATGATACTCAAATTTAAAGAGTTCATTTTTAAAATCTCTCATTAATGCTCTAAAATAGCTGCCTCTATTATCTTAGAACCTACATTTCCTTAACCCCTTAACAAAGTGTTAGAATCATTTTATAAATATAACTCCTTCAAATAATGACACTTATTTTTGGTAATTCGGAGCTTTTCTTTTTTCTTGGTATTTTTCTTTGGCCTTTCTACTTCATTCCCACTAGCCACACATCTTGTATTCCTTTGGCTTCAGTGACCTAGAAATCTGAGTTTCTCCTTAGCTTTCTCTCGTTCTTTCACTCAATCTGCTTTCTTCTTCCATACAGTCTATTTGGGCAATTAGACCTGAGCCTGTGCTCTATTCTCTCTATAGTCTATCCTTTGAATAGCCCAAGGATTTCTACAACTATCTCTGCACCTGACTCTCATATCTGGGTTAAAAATTCCAGGTTATCCTTAGCTTTCCAGCCCCCAATCTCCAAATGACTACTAAACAATTCCACTTTGGCGGTGAGCGAGGAAAGAGGGTGCAGACATAAAGGTGTGGAGATCACAGGGGAAAAAGAATACTTTCAGCTGTTAACAGCAAAGGAAAGTTTCACAAAGGTGGGAAGTGGCTAGTTCTAGACTAAAGATGGATAATCTACAAAGAGGCTTTAGTGAAAAAGGGAGGTGTACAAGTGAGAAATCACGAGGTTCATTTGAGAAGATGAACAGAACAATGTGACCAGAGAAGAAAATCGATTTAGAAAAAAAAACAAAAAACAAAAAAACAAAAAGTAAGACAAAAATGAAAAGGTAGACTGAGGCCAAGAAGTGGGTGGTTCTGACAACCCGGCAGAAGTTTGGACAAATTCTATAGAAAATGGGAAGCTTTTAGGTTTTCAGCAGGAAACTTTATATAGCTGAAGGAAGTTTAATCTGACAGACTTTTGTACAAAGGACTAGAAAGAGAGACTCTAGACTAAGAAGTATTTAAAGTACTAAGCATCTGAACTATGGTGGTGACTAAAAATAGAACAGAATAATGTCAGAGAATACTACTGTTAAACAAAATTACAGGAAAAATTTAGTCAAGAAGAAAGTTATTACCAAATAAGGAATAAAATGAAAATAACAGTTTCTTTATTGTGCAAAAAAGCACATGACCTATGAATTTGTTTATACATACTTCAATTTACTTTTCCTTTCAATTTTTCTTGCATCATTATGTATTTTTTTCTTCCTTAAAAATCACACTGTTTATCATATTGGAAGAACTAAAAGGAATATAAATTAATTTTAACACTTTATTTGGATCCCAAATATTAATGAAAATATCCACATTTGTGATAATTAACTTTGACCATTTACAAAATCTCCCCAAATAGTAGTGTGATCATTAAAAGTTTCAGTAGTAAATACTCTATACCACCACTGGCTTCCTGTTTGACAAACTTCAATCACATTTTCAGTGTTTGCTGATTATACTAGAAGATGGGTTGCAGTGTAGGGAAATAAGAAGAAACTCTTCACCCAGTATTTTTATCATAGGGTTAGTTATAGAGCATAGTGGCAATACTCATTTATATACCGTTTTCATTTTATGCGGGGTATTGTGAATATGTGTGTGTGTGTGTGTGTGTGTGTGTGTATTTCCTATTATGGATAGATTTCACCCAAAAATCAATGTTCCTCACAGATTACTTTTAGTGTATAGTTTTTAAATATCTGTGATTTAACAACTACAAAAATACACATCCAACATATATTATGATAGCTGGAACATATCGAAAAGTCCCAATATCACCATAGTAATGTCATTACTACAATTAAAGTTCCCAGGTAGCAGAGTTTCTTAAAGGCACAATGTGTTCCTAAATGAACCTGCTAGGACTCAAAAAAAATCAATTAATAGCTAAATACTTACCACACTCAAATTGACAGGAGTGTTTGCTTTTGGTACTGGGTGGTTATAGAGTGATTTGAGAGTTTCATTCAAATCATTCTCCTAGAGTAAAATTTAAAAGTACAATTTATAAGTGAAATACATACTAAGCAAATATAATTAAAACTACTGGAGAAAATCATGCACTGTGCCTTCTCATATTAGACATGTTTTACACAACTGCTTTCCACAAGAATGTTTCAAATAACTGAAATTTAAATATTTAAATTAATAAATATGGAAAAGATAACCAAATATATTTATCCATAAAGAATACTAGCAATATCTCTAATTAGTATAAATCTGTATTTGGCAAAACTTCATTATTATAAAATATACTGATGCTATCTATAGAGGAAATCATTTAAATCATTAAATCCAAGCAAAATGGGATTGAATAAAAATGGCAATATAACTTTTTACCAGATTACTGAATGCTTCCATTTTCCATTTTAATTTTAAAATCTTAAACCTAATTTTTAAGGAACAGATACAATGTAGCATGATCACTGTACTAAGATACAATGTACAGGTTACTCTAAATAGGTCTTTTCTGAACAGCTACCAGTCAGTCACTACTTGACTCACAATAAATGGCATTAAAAATATATATATATGACACATCCACCCTGTAGGATGTACACAATAACAATGCACTTTGATATGCACATTCGCTTTTTCTGCATTATACATATAAACCCAGGAAGACATATATGAAGGTAGTTTTTATATACATGTTTTTTATTCTCTCTTAAAATGTGTATGTGGGGGCAATATACCAAAGGAAATGGCAATTATTCAAAATAGGTAATAATTAATTTTAAGGAATTTGGATATGAGACACATAACTTCACACAATTTATCATATAACTACCAAAACTTAATAATTCTGATTTCGTGTTTGTAAAGTGTACATACAAAACTGCCTATTAGAATTCTCTTTAGAATGACTTTAAGAGAAGACACTATAGAATTTATCTCTTGACCATTTAAACAATGAAATATATCCACAAAATATTCTGGATAATATTAATCCCTGTCTAAACAAAATTCCTATGGCTAATGAAGTTTTTTTAAAGTCTAGCTTTCAAAATTACCTTAAACTTGCCTGATGCTGATCAGGTAAGGGTAACTTCAATTATAAAATCTAAATATCAACCTACAAAGCCTGTGGCATTGGGTTAAAAAGAAAAAGAAAAAATATAACAGTTATAGATTTATTCTGCTTTACTTCTGTGAACCTACAATGTATTTTCCTCTATTAAGGAATACAGATACAGTCTCTCCTGCTCCCTCTTCTCAGAACACTAAAATTATATGAATTTGCTCACAATATTTTCTTTTATATATTCCAGTATTACCAACGGTCTCATAAAGAAGGACATATTATAGGTACATAAGTATCAATTTAACAGTAAGAGTTTCTAAAAGTAAATTATTCAGTTGGTTAAGCGTCCAACTTTGGCTCAGGTCATGATGTCACAGTTTTGGGGTTCGAGCCCCACATCGGGCTCTGTGCTGACAGCTCGGAGCCTGGAGCCTGCTTCGGATTCTGTGGCTCCCTCTCTCTCTGCCCCTCCCCATTCACACATTCTCTCTCTCTCAAAAATAAATAAATGTTAAAAAAAAAGTTGTAGGAGCAATGAATCATGGGAATCTACCCCCAAAACCAAGAGCAAATCATGTACACTGTATGTTAGCCAACTTGAATAAATGATACTAAAAAAAAAAAAAAGTTGTAGAGAATGGAGAATCTACTTTCTTTTTATATTTACTTATTTATTTTGAGAAAGAGTGAGTGAGTGAGTGGGGGGGGGGAGGGGCGGGGGGTTGGGATTGAGAATCTCAAGAGACTCCGAGCCCCTATAAGGGGCTCAAACTCACTGAAGGTGAGATCATGACCTGAACTGAAATCAAGAGTCAGAGACTTGAGCCACCCAGGAGCCCATGGAGATTCTACTCTTAAAGAACTTGTACACAGATTCATCTGCCTCAGGACCAAGCATAAAAGTAGCAGTATAAAGAGCACCTAGACATACATGAAGGAGATTCATTTGTTATTCTTAAAGCATCTGCCAGAGGGGGAGGAGCGTATTCAAACTCTCTGCTGGGATGGAGGTGCTGGTGGGTGTCATTTTTGCATTCTCCCTCTATCTTTCTCGTGCTGGTGGGCACCTCCTGCCCTTCCCCATCCTTGCAGCCCCACCAGAGCCAGTGGGAAAGCACAGCCTATATAGAGGATGCCCCTTGAGCACCTGGCCAGGAAGAATTGTGTTTCTGGGCACCACAGGTCTGAAACCATAGAAGAGATGGTTCTTGGCAGGCTACCACCCCCAGGGCACTGTATAGACAGCAGAAGAAAACACACTCCCAGTCTTCCTATCTACTTATCCCAGCGCTTCAACTGAGGGCACACTCCAGGATTACCACACATCTACAGGCTATGGGACTCTCAGTGAACATAGACCAGGGGACGTCATCTTTGCAATCTCCCTTGGACTTGCTGCAGCTCACTGATACCGCACAGAAAGGAGTCCACACACTTGTGTGAAACACTTTTTGCCACTTGTCGCCAAGGGTACACCACCAGATTGACGGCCCTGGAGACAAGCAGGCTTTCGGACTGTTGTCCCTCAAAATTATATATTTACATACCTTTAAAGCTGCTGCCTGAGGGTCTAGCTTCCAATCACCCTGAAACTAGGAGCTATTAGATCTCTCCCTCTTGAATATTCAGAGAATGTGGCACTATCTCAACAACTAGGACCTATCAATACTACATCAGGCTGCTTAGACAATCACAAAGGTTCTAGAGACAACCAAGAGCTAGGGCAAGGTTAAATGATAAGGTTCATCTACACAAGGTCACTCTTTCTAGCATGAGAGAGATAGCTGTTAAACCTAATGCATAGAAACTAACATAGAAAGCTGAACAAAATGAGGAGAAAAGAATATACTCCAAATGAAAGAACAACATAAAACATCAGAAAGAAACTGACAAGAAATGGCAATGAGTAATTTACCTGATAAAGACTTCAAAGTAATGGTCATAAAGACACTCACTGAAATTGGGAGAAGAATGGATGAACACAGCAAGAACTTTAACAAGATGGAAACAAGAAAGTGCCAAATAGAAATCACAGATACAATAACTGAACTGAAAAATGCCCTGGTGGGGTTCAACAGCAGATGAAATCAGTGATCTAGAAGACAGGGCAGTAGAACTCACCTAAACAAATCAGCAAAAAGAAAAACTAATTTTAAAAAGTAAAGATAGCTGTGCACTACAAGACCAGGACTTACAAGACCTGTGGACAATATCAAGCAGAATAACATCCACATTATAGGAGTTCCAGAAAGACAAAAGGGGGCAGAAAACTTATTTGAAAAAATATAGCTGAAAATGTCCCTAACCTGCAAAAGAAAACAGATATCCAGATCCAGGAAGCCCAGAGACTTCCAAACAAGATGAACCTAAAGAGATATAAACATAATTAAAACATCAAGAGATAGAGATTCTTAAAAGCAGCAAGAGAAAAACAACTTGTTGCAAAGGAACCCCCACAACGCTATTAGCAGATTTCTCAGCAGAAACTCTGCAGGCCAAAGGGGATGGCATGATACATTCAAAGTGCTGGGGAAAAGCAAAAACAAAAACTAAAACTTGCAACCAAAAATACTTTACCTTGCAAGTTTATCATTCAAAATTGAAGGAGAGATAAAGAGCTTTCCACACAAACAAAAGCTAAAGGAATTCATCAGCACTCAACGGCTCTATAAGAAATGTTGAAGAGATTTCTTTAAGTTGAATAGAAAGGGTAATAACTAATAAGAAAAAAATATGAATAAAAATCTGATTGGTAAATTAAATACACAGTAAAAGTAGTAGTTAAATACTTCTAAAGCTAGTATGAAGGTTAAAAGGCAAAAGTAGTAGAAATAACTATAACCGCAGTAATTAGTTATGGGATATACAAAATAAAAAGATTTAAACTTGATATGAAAAATATAAAACATATTTTTATGGGGAGAGGGTAAAAATGCATTCAAACTTAAGTTGCTGTCAACTTAGACTATTATGTATATAAGCTGTTATATGTAAGCCTCATGGTAACTGCAAAGCAAAACCCTATAGTAGATTCACAAAAGAAAATGAGAAAGGAATCAAAGCATGCAGCTATATAAATCCATCAAACCAAAAAGGAAGAAAGCAAGAGAAGATAGAAAAAGAAAAGAACCATAAGAGAGCCATAAAATAATTAAATAAAATGGCAACAAGTTCATAAGTATACATAATGAAATGTAAATGGACTAAATTATCCACTCAAGAGATATAAAGCGGCTAAGTAATTTAAAAAACAAACTAGCCCATCTATGTGATGCCTACAAGAGACTCACATCATATGTAAGAACATACACAGACTGGACTAGAAGTGAAGGAATAGAAAAAGATATGTCATGCAAAGGAAACCAAGAGAAAGTGTGGTAGCTATACTTATGTCAAACAAAATAGACTCTTAAACAAAGAATCTAATAAAAGATAAAGATGGGCATTATGCAGTGACAAAGGGGTCAATCCAGCAAGAAGATATAACATTTGTAAAGGGAGAAATTGATAGCAATACAATAATAGCAGGAGATGTTAATACTCCAGTTACATCAAAGAATAGATCATCCAAGCAGGAAGATGGACTATATATGTATATATAAAGAACATTCCATCCCAACACAGCAGAATATACATTCTTTTCAAATGTACATGAAACAATCTCCAGGATACATCGTATGTTAAGCTATAAAACAAGTCTCAATAAATTCAAGAAAATGGAAACTGTATCGAACATATTTTCCAATCACAATTGTAAGAAGCTAGATATCAATTATAAGAAGAAAACTGGAAAAATCACAAATATGTGGAGATTAAACAACATGCTACTGAACAACCAATGGCTCAACAAAGATATCAAAAAAAGAATAAAAAACATACCTTAAGACAAATGAAAATACAACACACCAAAATTTATAGGATACAGAAAAATAGTTCTAAAATTTATAGTGATGTAGGCCTACCTCAAGAAACATGAAAAACATCAAGTACAATATCTAAAAAAAACAAAAAACAAAAAAAAAAAACTAGAACAAATGAAGACCCAGTTTAGTAAAAGGAAGGAAATAATAAAGATCAGAGCACAAATAAATGAAATAGGGGCTAAAATGGCAAAGGAAAAGATCAAAGAATTGATTCTTTAAAAATAGAAACAAATTTGACAAACCTTTAGCTAGACTCACAAGGAACAAAAAGAGAGTTCTCAAATAAATAAAATCAGATATCAAAGAAGATAAAACTGATAACAAAGAAATATACAAATGATTACAAGAGACTACTATAAATAATTATATGCCAACAAATTTTACAACTCAGAAGAGATGGATAAATTCCTAGAAAGTTACAATCTTCCAAGACTGAATCATGAAGAAATAGAAAATCTAAATAGACTGATTACTAGTAAGCAGACTGAATCAGTAATCAAAAAATTCTCAACGAACATAAGTCCAAGACCAGATGGTTGCACTTGTGAATTCCACCAAACATTCAAAGAGGATTTAATATCAATCCTCCTCAAACTCTTCCAAGTTACTGAAAAGGAGGGAATGCTCCCAAACTCGTTTTATGAGATCAACATTACCCTGATGCTAAAACCAGTCAAAAACAACACAAAAAAGAAAATTACAAGGCAACATCCTTGATAAACAGAGATGCAAAAATCTTCAACGAAACATAAGCAAGTAAAATTCAACAGTACATTAAAGGGACTATCCACCATAATCAAGTGGGATTTATTCTATGGATGCAAGGATGATTTAACATCTGCAAATCAAGCAATGTGATAGACCACATTAACAAAATGAAGGATAAAAATCATGTGATCATCTCAACAGATAGACAAAAGCCATTTGACAAAATTCAACACCCACTTGTGACAAAAACTTTCAACAAAAGGGGTATAGACACAATGTACCTCAATATAATAGAGGCCATATATGACAAACCCACAAGTAACATCATACTCAACAGTGAAAAGCTGAAAGCTTTTCCTTCAAGATCAGGAACAAACAGGAATCCCCACTTTCACCAGTTTTATTCAACTAAGTATTCAAAGTCCTAGCTAGAGCAACAAGGCAGAAAAAAGAAATAAAAGACATCTAATCTGGAAAAAGTAAAACTGTCACTACTTACAGGTGACATGATTTGATATATACATACATACATAAAAAACACTAAAGATGCCACCACAAAAGCTCTTAGAAGTGATAAACAAGTTCAGTAAAGTTGCAGGATACAAAATCAATATACAAAAATCTGTGGTGTTTCTATACTAACAATTAACTATCAGAAAGAGAAATCAGGAAACAATCACATATACAATTGCATCAAAAGAATAAAATACCTAGGAATAAATTTAATCAAGGAGGTGTAAGATCTATACATTAAAAACTATAAGGCACTGATGAAAGAAACTGAAGAGGACACAAATGAATAGTCTGATCTTGTGGATTGAAAGAACACTATTAAAATGTCCATTTTACCCCCAAGCAATCTAAAGAGTCAATATAATCTCTATCAAAATTCTAATGGCATTTTTTACAGAATTAGACAAACAATCCTAAAATTTGTATGGAACACAAAGATCCCAAATAGCCAAAGGAATCTTGAGAAAAAACAATGCAGCTAAAGGCATCATGCCCCCAGATTTCAAACTATATTACCAAGATATAGTAATCAAAACAGTACGCTACTGGCCAAAAACTAGACACAAAAATCAGGGGAACACAACAGAGAGCCCACAAATACATAGTCAACTAATTTATGACAAAGAAGGCAACAATATGATAAAGGACAATCTCTTCAATAGATGGTGTTGGCAAAAGTGGACAGTCATATGCAAAAGAATGAAATTAGACCACTATCTTATACCACACACAAAAATTAATTCACAATTGGTTAAAGACTTGAATGTAAGAGCAGAAACTATAAAACTCCTAGAAGAAAACAAACACAGTAAGCTCTTTGACATTGGGTTTTGACGATATTTTTTCAGATCTGACTCCAAAGTCAGTGGCAATGAAAGAAGGAAGGAAGGAAGGAAGGAAGGAAGGAAGGAAGGAAAGAAGGAAGGAAGGGAGGGAGGGAGGGAGGGAGGGAGGGAGAAAATAAATGAGACTACATCAAACTTAGAAGCACAGTGAAGGAAACTGTCAACAAAATAAAAAGGCAATATACTGAATAGAAGATATTTGCAAATCATGTATCCAATAAAGATTTATATCCAGAATATATAAAGAACTCATACAACTCAATAACAAAAAAATAAGCAATGATTTTAAAAATGGGCAGAAGATCTGAATAGACATTTTTCCAAAGAATACATACACATGGCCAACAGGTACATGCAAAGATGCTCAACATCACTAATCATCAGGGAAATGCAAATAAAAAGCACAATGAGTTATCACCTCACACCTGTCATAACAGTTATTGCAAAAAGGACAAGAAATAACAAGCATAGGTAAGGACGTGGAGAAAAGGGAACCCTCGTGCACTACTGATAGAAATGTAAACTGGTGCAACCACTATGGAAAACAGTTTGGAGGTTCCCCAAAAAATTAAAAATAGAACTGTGATCCAGCAACTCCATCTCTGGGTATTTATCTGAAGAACACAAGAACACTAATTTGAAAAGATATATGAACTCCTATGTTCATTGCAGTATTATTTACAATAGCCAAGATATGGAAACAACTTAAGTGTCCATCAGTGGATAAATGGATAAAGAGGCACGCACGCACGCACATGCACACACACACACGCACAAGCACACACACTCTCACACAATGGAATACTATTCAGCCATAAAAAAGAACAAAATCTCTCCATTTGTGACAACATAAATGGACCTTGAAGGCACTTATGCTAAGTGAAATTAATCTGACAGGGAAAGACAGATAACATATGATTTGACATATTCAGAATCTAAGAAACAAAGCAAAGAGACAAAAAAATAAAACTCATAGATAATGAGAACAAATTTAATTGATGGTTGCTAGAGGGGAAAGTGTTGTTGGTGGGATGGGTGAAATGAGTGAAGAGAATAACAGATACAAACTCCCACTTACAAAATAAATAAGTCAAGGGCATATAATGTATAGCATGGTAATCATAATCAATAATATTGTACTGCAAATCTGAAAGATGCTAATAAAGTAAATCTTAAAGTTCCCATCACAGACAGACAGACAGACAGACACACACACACACACATCTATAACTCGGTATAGTAACAGATGGTACTTAGAGTTATTGTGATGCTATTTCACAATGTACATAAACGTAAACTCATTATGTACACCTGAAATAAAAGGTTGTGTGTAAATGATATTCCAATAACACAAAAACAAAACAGAAAATAGCAAGTGTTGGGAGAATGCAGGAAAATTAGAACCTTGTGCATTGCTGGTGGGAATGTAAAATGGTAACACCATGTGAAAAGTGTTTTGACGGTCCTTCAAAAATTAAACACAGGCTAACCATATTATTCAGCCATTCTACTTCTGGGTATATATTCAAAAGAACTGAATACAGCAACTCACACAGATATTTGTATACTCATGTTCCTAAGAGCACTGTTCACAAGAGCCAGAAGGTGGAAGCAACCCAAGTGTTCATCTCCAGATGAACAGATCAACAAAATGTGGTGTGTACATATAATGAAATATTATTCAGCCACAAAAAGGCAAGAAATTCTGACACATGCTACAATATGGATGAACCTAGAAAACATGCTGAGTCCAGTAAGCCAGTCACAGAAGAAAAAATACTGTATGATTCTACTTGCATGAGGAACACAGTCAAATTCATGCAGACAGAAAATACAATGATTGCTGCCAGGGACTCAGGGGCAGAGAAAGAAAGTTATTGTTCAATGGGGCAGAGGTTCAGTTTGGGAAGACAGAAAAGTTCTAGAGATGATGATGCTGATGGCTGCACAGAATAATGTGAATGTGCTTAATGACACAGAACTGTACACTTAAAGATGGCTAAAATGGTAAACTTTATGTTATGTATATTTAACCACATTAAAAAAAAAAGTAAGGAAAAAACATAGCTTACCAGTTCCTTAGCCAAGTAATCTGCCAGAGTATTTAGAAGCTTGTAATATACTTCAAACCATGGCAGGTAACTGTAATAAAAAAAAAAAACTTTAAAAATGTATATGGATGTATCATCTAGAATCAAGAAAAGAGAGATGACAAACATTAAATCTGCATTATTTCAAACAGCTTAGTCCTGGTGGGCAGAAAAAAAACTATACGCATGTTTTCCTTACTGGTAGCAGTAAAATTCTACCTGTTATCTATTACTTGTCTGTATAAAATAATAACCCAAAGTACTATTATAAAAGTTATTCATTACACACTTCTATTTTAACTCTGCAGTAAAATTATTTAATCCTATAGCATGGTATGCATGGTATGAGTGTGTCAAAAGTACTCATAGGATGAAACTTAACCACTGTAATAAAACATAATGCAAAAGAAAACTAATTTTCAAAAGCCTTCAAAACATACAATCATTTCTTAACGATTACTGAAGTGAATACATAATACAATAGGATTATGTACTTAATTAATCAATTACTTTGAAACTGATGTTCAATTAGGATGGTAAATTTCAAAATAACAGTAATACAAATAACAGGAAGCCTATTTTAACAATTGTAAAAAAGCTTTTAGTTATTACAACCAATCCCTCAGAATGCAAGCAATTATCAGGGAATACTATGAAAAATTATATGCCAACAAACTGGACAACCTGGAAGAAATGGACAAATTCCTAAACACCCACACTTTGACTTTTGGAAGTCAAAACTCAAACAGGAGGAAATAGAAAGCTTGAACAGACCCATAACCAGCGAAGAAATTGAATCAGTTATCAAAAATCTCCCAACTAATAAGAGTCCAGGACCAGATGGCTTCCCTGGGGAATTCTACCAGACATTTAAAGCAGAGATAATACCTATCCTTCTCAAGCTATTCCAAAAAATAGAAAGGGAAGGAAAACTTCCAGACTCAACTATGAAGCCTGTATTACTTTGATTCCTAAACCAGACAGAGACCCAGTAAAAAAAGAGAACTACAGGCCAATATCCCTGATGTATATTGATGCAAAAATTCTCAATAAGATACTAGCAAATCGAATTCAACAGCTTAGAAAAAGAAGTATTCACCATGATCAAGTGGGATTCATTCCTGGGATGCAGGGCTGGTTCAACATTCGCAAATCAATCAATGTGATACATCACATTAATAAAAGAAAAGATAAGAACCATATGATCCTGTCAATCGATGCAGAAAAAGCATTTGACAAAATTCTTTCTTAATAAAAACCCTCGAGAAAGTCAGGATAGAAGGAACATACTTACACATCATAAAAGCCATTTATGAAAAGCCCACAGCTAATATCATCCTCAATGGGGAAAAACTGAGAGCTTCCCCTCTGAGATCAGGAACACAACAGGGATGTCCACTCTCACCGCTGTTGTTTAACATAGTGTTGAAGTGCTAGCATCAGCAATCAGACAACAAAAGGAAATCAAAGGCATCAAAACTGGCAAAGATGAAGTCAAGCTTTCACTTTTTGCAGATGACATGATATTATACATGGAAAATCCGATAGACTCCACCAAAAGTCTGCTAGAACTGACACATGAATTCAGCAAAGTAGCAGGATACAAAATCAATGTACAGAAATCAGTTGCATTCTTATACACTAACAATGAAGCAACAGAAAGACAAATAAAGAAACTGATCCCATTCACAACTGCACCAAGAACCATAAAATACCTAGGAATAAATCTAACCAAAGATGTGCAAGATCTGTATGCTGAAAACTATAGAAAGCTTATGAAGGAAACTGAAGAAGATATAAAGAAATGGAAAAACATTCCGGGCTCATGGATTGGAAGAATAAATATTGTTAAAAGGTCAATACTACCCAAAGCTATCTACACATTCAATGCAATCCCAATCAAAATTGCACCAGCATTCTTCTCAAAGCTAGAACAAGCAATCCTAAAATTCACATGGAACCACAAAAGGCCCCTAATAGCCAAAGTAATTTTGAAGAAGAAGACCAAAGCGGGAAGCATCACAATCCCAGACTTTAACCTCCACTACAAAGCTGTAATCATCAAGACAGCATGGTATTGCACAAAAACAGACACATAGACCAATGGAATAGAATAGAAACCCCAGAACTAGACCCACAAAAGTATGGCCAACTCATCTTTGACAAAGCAGGAAAGAACATCCAATGGAAAAAAGACAGTCTCTTTAACAAACGGTGCTGGGAGAACTGGACAGCACCATGCAGAAGAATGAAACTAGACCACTTTCTTACACCATTCACAAAAATAAACTCAAAATGGATAAAGGACCTGAATGTGAGACAGGAAACCATCAAAACACTACAGGAGAAAGCAGGAAAAGACCTCTCTGACCTAAGCCACAGCAATTTCTTACTTGACACATCCCCAAAGGCAAGGGAATTAAAAGCAAAAACGAACTATTGGGATTTCATGAAGATAAAAACTTCCGCACAGTAAAGGAAACAATCAACAAAACTAAAAGGCAACCAACGGAATGGGAAAAGATATTTGCAAATGACATATCAGACAAAGGGCTAGTATACAAAATGTATAAAGAGCTCACCAAACTCCATACCCAAAAAACAAATAATCCAGTGAAGAAATGGGCAGAAAACATGAATAGACACTTCTCTAAAGAAGACATCCAGATGGCCAACAGGCCCATGAAAAGATGTGCTCAACATCGCTCCTCATCAGGGAAATACAAATCAAAACCACACTCAGATATCACCTCACGCCAGTCAGAGTGGCCAAAATGAACAAATCAGGAGACTATAGATGCTGGAGAGGATGTGGAGAAATGGGAACCCTCTCGCACTGTTGGTGGGAATGCAAACTGGTGCAGCCACTCTGGAAAACAGTGTGGAAGTTCCTCAAAAAATTAAAAATAGACCTACCCTATGACCCAGCAGTAGCACTGATAGGCATTTACCCAAGGGATACAGGAGTACTGATACATAGGGGCACTTGTACCCCAATGTTTATAGCAGCACTCTCAACAATAGCCAAATTGTGGAAAGAGCCTAAATGTCCATCCACTGATGAATGGATAAAGAAATTGTGGTTTATATACACAATGGAATACTACATGGCAATGAGAAAGAATGAAATATGGCCCTTTGTAGCAAGGTGGATGGAACTGGAGAGTGTGATGATAAGTGAAATAAGCCATACAGAGAAAGACAGATACCATATGATTTCACTCTTATGTGGCTCCTGAGAAACTTAACAGGAACCCATGGGGGAGGGGAAGGAAAAAAAAAAAAAAAGAGGTTAGAGTGGGAGAGAGCCAAAGCATAAGAGACTCTTAAAAACTGAGAACAAACTGAGGGTTGATGGGGGGTGGGAGGGAGGGGAGGGGAGGTGATGGGTACTGAAAAGGGCATCTTTTGGGATGAGCACTGGGTGTTGTATGAAAACCAATTTGACAATAAATTTCATATATTAAAAAAAATAAAAAAATAAAAAATAAAAAACAAAATTTAACTTAACAAAAAAGCTTTTAGATACCAAAAACACATATAATCGAAATTCATTTTAATTCATTTTACTAGATACAACTATAATTAATTTTTATGAAAGCAAAATATACTAAGTCCAAAATTCAGTTGTGCACAAAAAAGTCTGCACTTATGAACAAATTAAGACACTAGTAGATATAAAATCTATTCAAAGCTCTATTTATTAAATTGTATGCTTTTCACATAGAAGAATAGTAAACCACAAAACACCAGTACAGTTAAGTATCAATTAACAAATATTCTTTTTTTTCAAAGAATTACTACAATAGACTACTTTCTAAGAGAAACAGTGTGATGCTCTTACTACATAATTGTATCCTGACAAGAGTTGTGTGTGTGTGTGTGTGTATACATTCACACACACACACACACACACTATATATTATATAAAACAAATTTAAAATTTAAAAATCAATGAACAAGGCTTAGAAAAACAACTTTCTATCTGTATTTTTCATATAATGTCTGATTCATTAATGGCTATGAAAGATGCTTTTTCATTCAAGAGTAACCTAAAGTCATAACAGAAGAACAGTTAAAATAGTATCTTTATTCAGCAGAATTGTTATAGAGTTCTTTAAAATAATGACTGTAAATACTAACTAATAATATAAAATATGCCTGTATTTTAAAATATCTACCAACTTATAGTTAAATCTAGCACATTGAATAAATACATTTATCTCTGTGCCCTTTGGAAATGGCACTAAAATGATGAGTAAATGAGTAAAAAGGGTATAAATTAATAAGGACAAGAGAAATGGAGAAAAAAGTAACAGACAGCAACACAGGTGAATGGTTTTGTGAAGACAAAAAGGAAATGAAGAATGATAACTGACTTAGCAAAAGAAAGAACACCAAAATCTAGGTGCCAACAGAAGGGAAAATGACCAGTAGCTAGTATATTTGCACACTTCCCCCCATCCCAGGATCCTGAAACACTGATCCAGGAATCTTTCAAAGAAAAAAACAAAAACAAAAACAAAAAAAACCTCAGAGGTCCTATTTTCTTGGAATGAAACCCACCACTGCATGGACAAAGTTTTCTAATGCAGTTTAGTGCCTCTATCTTAAATATAAATTAACAGTCCGACCACCAGACATTTGAAGAAATACAGACATCAATACAAACATAAAAGGAATTCCAAGTAAACACAGACAATACAAACAACAGATGAGAACTCTAAAAAGTTATCACTAATATTCTTAGGAGCTGAATAAAGAACAGAATGCTCTTAGAATGAAATCTAAAAAAGAAGTGAAGAAATTTTTTTAAAAAACAGAAAAAACTCTTAGATGTTCAAAATATGAAATCTGAAATACTTAAAATCAATAGAAAGGTTAGAAAGTAAATCAAGAATATCTCTTAGAAACTGGAATGAAGAGATAATAGGAGAGTAAACATTAAAATACCAGGGCACCAATCATGTACCTGACTCAATCATGTAGTTGACTAACAGTAGTTCCAAAAAGAAAGAAAAGAGGGAAAACAGCAATAAAAATTTCTTTTTT